GAAGGGAATGATGGATGCACCAACAAACCCCACTGGCATTTGGGACTGAATGGTGGATCTGTGGTGGCCTATGTACCAGATTTGGTGTATGATGGTATGGCCTGTAAAGAGGCAGAACTTGGCACCAGGGCTTTGCAAGCCCCATCCTGGGGGCAGAAACACACCCATCACTTGATGCTGGAAGTGGCATTTGTACCAGAAAGCACCATAACACAGTGTTAGTCACAGCCTGTGTTCTGTGCTTCCTCAGGTGATTGATTCCTTCATTAAAAGACTGTTGAGTACACAAGTTTGTCCTGTCACTGCTGCAGGTTTTGGCACACTGCTTTCCAGGAACACAGCTGGGGAAGGCTTTAACAACACTCCTTTGGGTAAAGTCAAGCTGGTTCTTCTCAGAACACTTTGTGTGTTTCAGTGTATTTAACAACACCCATTTCAAGGATGAGACATGAGTGAGGCAGCCCTTAAAGTGATACCAAGGCAAAGCAACCCTGATGGCAATGTAATATTGGCTAAATTTAGTTGTTTAAGAAGTGTTCAGGAAATGGGTGTCAAACTTGACTGCCAATTAATTCCTGGCTTTCTCAACATCCTGGAAGGAGCTGTGAGGCCTGATGCCCCTTGAGCTTTACAACTTGGTTTTTTCACGCTGAAGCCGTTGGGAAATCCCATGTCTTTCTGACCTTGTGGACAATGAGGAATTCCCACTTCTGCAGGTTGACAGCGTTCATCCAAACAAAAGAAAGCTCTTTTGATATGTGGCATAAGGGTTACCCTGTTGATCATTGCAGTGACACGTTTTGCTGATCCTACAACATTGTTCAGGGGCCTACAGCTGTCTGGGAAGAGCTGCAGAAAGAGCTTACAGTAGCAGAGGTAAACGCAGGGTAAACACCCCATGGGTGAGTGAAAAGTAATGAATGTGAGTGATTGTTAACACCAGGAGTGGAATTAGGGTGGTGGCAAGCAGCTCAACACACAGTTGAACTTCGAAGGACATTTGGATACTAAAAGCAACATGAGTTTAAGAGGAAACTGGACATTTCCATCAGAGAAATCCATTGAAGGATACTAAGTTCATGGGAGCCACAGCAGCAGAAGTTCATAAGCTCCATACTACAGGTGAGTAGAAAGAATAAAGAGCTTATTCACCTGCTCTCAGCCTCTTCTTGTGCCTGCCTTTGGTGGCCACTGGGCTATGACATTTGGCTGAACAGATCTTTGATCTGGCCCGGTACAGCTGCTTTCCTCTGGTTTGCTGACCTGCCCCAAAATCCAGGTCATACCTTCTGGAGGAACAAGGTGGACAGAAGCTCCATAAATGTGGCAGAAGACTCTGTGACATCTTCAGTGATCTTTGAGCTGTCTCTTCTCTGACCCCTGCCTATACTTACATGAGGTGCTGCTAAAGCTGTGTGTGACAAGGATGGAAAAATGCACTAAATAATGTCAAATTATTTCTGTGACAGTGATTATCACAAGTGCAGCCTCCAAACCCTGCCATAATGTAACTTCCTTAGAGTGCAATGCACAGGTCACTGCTCTCCTATTGCTGGGGGATTAGAGTTCTTTTCACAGTGTGAGGGAACCAATGGTTTCCCAATCCAGTCTATCCTACAGGAAGGCAGCAGCACAGAACAAAGTAAGGAAAAATAGCAGGCCTGGTCTCTTGCAGGAAAAGGATTCCTGCTGTGCTTTTGGCTCTGAACAAAAGCAGGAAGTTGGGGGTTGAGTTTCGTTTCTTGTTTGAGTTCTGCCTTTTTTCTGAGCCTTTAACAACTTACTACAGGGAAAGGTCAGGCAAGGGAAGAGGACAGGGACAGCACATCCTAAGGACCTGGAACTTGAGGGGAGCATGCTGTAAGGCTGTTCCAGGAAGACCATATGGATACTGTCTGCAAGTTGCCAACCCTAAGTGTCAGAGAGTTTGCACTACTGCAGTGGAGTGATTTTTTAAAGGTAAAGGATCATTCCCACCTGCTGAACTCCACAGGGCTCACTTAGCCCTGCCTCTGTGGGTCATGTTCTTCAGTAAAATCCCATCAAAGTCAACAACAGAATGGTACTGTGTGGTACAGAGGGTCTGCTGAGCCAAATGTCATCTGCCTGTGGCATGGGGTGGGAACTAGATGATCTTTAACGTCCCTTCCAAACCATTCCATGATTCTGTTCTATGTTTCTATCTCTGACAGCAGCCAACAGGAGACACAAGTTGACCAGATCACATCACCCTCAGCTCTCCTGAGCTGGGAGGATGCTGGGGAGGAGGCTGGCCCTGCTCTTTAGGTACCACAGGGTCAGGTGGAACAGGCTTAAGCCTCAGCCTGCCTCTCCCAGTGAAGGTTTTTATCTCCTTCCAAACTTTTAATAGTGGAGGCACAGCCAAAATCCTACAGTTAAATTCTCTAAACCCCTGTTTCTCTGTTAATCCTATTTCAGTCACATACCAAAGGTAAATGCAGATGGGGTCTAATTCCACTCTCAGTAAACATTAATTAGCACTACAATGAAGACCTGCACCTCTCCCCACATCTTTTTTAAACTTAATTTAGGAATGGCTAAAGTAAATGCTAGTTACGTGAACCACAGTGGGAACAAGGAAAAAAGACCAAAACCCAACAGCAGAGCAAAGCCAACAAATAGAAGATAATATATTGGTGAACTTTGAGTCGTCATGGTAACTAGACAAGCTATAAATTCACTGGCACCACACTTGGATGTTTTAAGCAAATTGATGTCATTACAGCTCTGTGAGTAAGGCTTCTGGAATAGGTCTGGTAACAGTGTCTGTTATTACAGCTGCCCATTCTCAGACCCTACCAGCTTCTTACTGAGGACTGAGTTGAAATTTGCCATATTAAACACAGCTCCCTCAGGATCATTAAATATCTCTTTCCCCCCTTCCCATAAATGTTTCTATTGCCCTAACCAGAATTTTCCAGAAGAGAAGGGCAGGGCCTGCCATTTAAATTGTCAGCCTGGGTGATTCAGCTGCTTCCCAAGTCAGGGAAGGGAAAATATCCTAAAAAGGCCCCAGCGTCCTCAGCCTTGAACTAAAGTCACTGAGACTGGAACTGCCAGGACCAGACTCCTGGTAGTCCAGAGGTACAAGTGAGGGGAACAAGACTGGGACAAGCAGCAAAGCACCATGTTTGAGGGACCTGGGAGGAGAGTCAGCAACTGCAGGAAACCTTCCCCTTCCTAACCTGGAATAGATTAACAACATACCAGCCCAAGGCAGGTCTGTCTCCTGCCTTAGTGCTGACCCTTGTGTGAAGTGACAGTGCATTAGTGGTGGAACCAGTTTAAGGTGTGGTGAATGAGAACAGATGGAAGCTTCCTGCTTCAAGGAAAACTAAGTCTCAGTACAGCACAATATGCTATCTCTGCCCCACCTACTCAGCTTGTCTTCTTGAAATTTAGGAATATACAATGAGACTTCCAGGTCCCTTTAATGTAGCTTAAAAAGAAAAAAAACAAAACAAAAAACCTCAGTCACTCCCATATTAGGAAATACCGAGATCAAAGCCTTTCCCAGCCAGAGCTGTGTCTCTACTTTACCCCCAGGTCTGTAACATGGCCATGCTGCTTTTCCACACAGGCCCTGGGATGGAGGAAGGAAGGATGCAGGCAGGGAGAGTCCTGCAGTGCAGCTCCTTCCCCCTCAGACAGCAGACACTGTGCCACGTGCTGCAGTGACACTCGGGAAGGGGCTGCTGCCAGTCTTGGGAGTCTCCTCCCGAGTGGGTCTCACACCATTCGGCAGCTACAAAGAATGACCTCACCTGGCCAAAGATGCCTCTGACTCAGATCCAGCCAGACAGCTGCCCAGGGAAGGGTGTACAGCTTCCTGACACCCTAGGGAAGGGTGTGCAGCAGCGTGAGGCAGCTGTGACCTTCCTACACTGAGCTTTATGGCTTGTTTTTTATCTAGAAGTGTAGCTGCTTCCACTGACACCTCACAATACACCATGAACAACCCTCAGTAGCCATTTCAGTGGCAGTCAGAGGTTAAAAGCAGAAGCAGCCAGAAGTTTGAAGATGGATGCTGCCACATGTCCTGTATCAAGTTTTTCTAGGTTACAAAGCTCTCCATCAGAACATTCTCCCCCACACTTGCCTGGGGGGGAAACAGGGCAGGGCAGGTCATACCAGGGACTAAAACCTCAGGGGTGAAAGCATGAAAGCAAGTAACCCAATTTACTCAGCAAAATGTCAGCTGAAGGTACTGAGTGCTGACCCTGCTCCCCTTTGCAAGCCTCTGTCTGTTCACTATCTACCATCCAATCTCTGCAGACGTGGTGGAGATGTTATGCCACAGGAACCATTCACCATTTTATACTTAACTGAGAGCAGGAAGGCAGGAAGATGAGAAGATACAAATTTCATTTTACATGGTCTCTGCTTCTAGGGGGAAGAAAGGATGTCATCTGACTGCAAAACCAGCAACTGCACACCCAGCCTGGGGAAGGGGAAGTGAGAAATCAGCCAAAATCTTTCCCTGTCCTGACCTTGCAGATTTTTCTATTTTATTTTAAACCATTTTGAGAAGAAACAATGCCAAAAGTCATTAAGAAAATGCAAGAACATTAGGACAAGCCTTTGAAAGCACTGAAGCTGAGAGAGGGAAATACATCCTGTGCAGTGCTGACAATAAAATCAGCAGATGATAAAAGTGTTTGAACATGTAGCAGTACATTTCCAACCTAAACACCAAGCTATAGCCCAATCCCAGTTGTGACTCCATGGTCACAACGAGTCAAGAAAAAAATTTACATAAATTAAAGGGTAGACTGTTCAGAATTTTTTTACATGCTACAGCCTATCTGTACAAAGGCCAGGAAAAAGGTTATTTTTTTTTCATATAACAAAGTGCTACTGCAGAATTGACTGATTTGTTGTGGACATTTCTGAACAAATACAGATTGTTTGGCTCAGAGCATTTCCCTACAAGGACTCTAAATTCTTCTCAGAAGATTACAAAGCAGTCAGTTAGTTTCAGGCTGCTCAGTGAAACAAAAAGAAATCTCTTGAGTTATGGCTGTGCAACCAAACAAGTAGGCAAATTTTAAATTTTCTCTAAACTCTTTCCCAGTTTTCACTATTTCTTCAAAAGTTTCCACCTCCATCTCATTTACACCGAGCACCACCAGACAGTACCTGTGTTACAGCTCCAGTAGTTTAAAAAGCTGATGCTCTCCCTGTGGTACCTTCCCATTGGGACATTCCTGATCCATGAGGCTTTAACTCATCTGACTTTTTTGTGTGGATCAGGAATGAATGGCAAGGTCTCTTCTCAGCTGAGAACCCCAACAACTTCTTAAATGACTGCAGCTGTAAAGCAGCCCTTGTCTGTGACCCCCCTGGGCAGCCCCATTTTAAACACAGTAATCCTGGACTCTTATCGGAGGCGTGGGATGGAGTGGAAGGGGGGAAAACCTCTAAGGCAGGAGTCCAAAAGAGGTGCTCAACTCACACCTGAGCTTCAAAATACCCCTTTCTCTAGGTACTAAGGCTACCACATCAGATTTTCCCAGACATCCTTTTTTTTCCACACCTAGACACCTTCAAGTAGAAAGAAGAGAACTTGTCCATTTAGTTGGGATTTCCAGGAATCAGGCAACCCAGAGCAAGAGCAGCATCCCACAGGCTGACACACCTGGAAGGCCAGAAGGAGCACTCAGCCCACTGCATGTTCAGTGTGTCCCTGTGCAGAGATGAACACACCCAAACTGTGCTGCTTTGACAGCTGCAGCCGTGTTCCAGAGCCCAGGAAGACAAGTCAGAGCTGTCCAGGCTCTGGAATGTGCAGGACAAACAGCCACTGCCATCATGTCTGGCACAGCCTGGACACACAGGCCCCTGCTGTTGTATGTACACTCATGCCATGGCATGGAACACAGGAGCCATCTGTACACAGTTAGGATTGAGGAAGGATAATGACACCAGGAATGCTCCCAAAAACGTCTCCATGTTCCCAGTCAAGCTCCAATATTCTGCACTGTATCACAGTAACATTCACTCCTATACCTTGCATTTTTCCTTATAGAATACCAGGTGTACCTCTCTGTGTGGCAGAGACAGCCTTTCTGAATTGGTCCATAACACTCCAGTGCATCAGGATCAGATTCTGAGCAGTTGCTCAGCAGCTGCTAGATGAAAAAGGAAGTTTTCTGTAGCTGGTGGAAACCGCTTTTGTTTCAGGGCCTCAGAGTTAAGGGTTGGTTTTTCACTGCCATCAGAAGCTTCAGTAAGTGAGGCTAAAATAGCCAGGATTTCTTTTGTCTTCAGAGAAATGTCCTTGAGGAACAGAGAAACAAGCAAATGTGAACATAGTATTAGGCATGATAATGTTTTCGCATATGCCTATTAAAAAAATTAATCAATACAGGAAAAAAAAGGAAATAATGATAAATAAATAGTTCATTTAAAATAAAGCTCACATTTATTCTAAGGCAAACGTGCACCAGTTGTTCAGCCTGCTCTTGTGCAGTGCTGGATAAAGGGAGCACAACCACTCCACAGGCTCCTCTTCTGGCCTTACTGAGCTCTGTGATTAAATCACTCAGCTGTGAAATGTCTAATAATGTATTAAGATAGGGGAAGAAGTGAAAAAAGCCATCATGATGAAAATCAGGCTTTACAGCTGAGAAGCCTTATCTCAGCAGGACTTTTTCAAGGTATTGACAATACTATTGACAAAGCACTGAGCAAAATCCATGCCTTGTGGAATAAAACTGGGAAACCAGTCTAAAAATCAATAGACTTTTTGAAGTTTCTTCAGCAATGCAGTTACCCAACAGATAATACAAACCAAGTAAGTTATCCTTAAAAAATTTGTATGATGAATAAAATGCTCATTTGTAAAAAGGCAGAGGGTAGAAGAGACTGACTGATTCTCAGGGACAATCTTCCTCCTACGCCCTCCTTCCACCCAGGTTTAGCAATAGAAATAAGCTAACTAGATTTAAAAATAAAATATTAACCTTAATGACTTGGCTATCTGATTTATCTGGATCTTCTGCAGATTGAACAATCAGTTGTCCGATCTCTTTGTGAAGTTTTCCCATTGTCATTGCCTCTGTGTAAGAATGGAAACAACACCACACATTCACATAAAATCACCTTTTCTGGGATATCTAGAAAAGCATATGAACAACAAGCTGAATTGAGGAGTCTTTTCATGACTACTACTTAAAATCTACTGGTAAAGGCAGTAACCTGGCATATCAACAGCTTTGCCAACACCCCTGAAGTGGCCCTAAGTAGATGATAAGGAGCAGAGAGATGACCAGCAACACAGAAGTTTTTCTTTCAAATAGTCCCCAGTCTCCAAGTATTTAGGGCAGTGTTTTCCTAAAGACTCAAGTGACATATCTGCACCCAGCTGGAAGCCTCTTCCATATAACTGTGTAACATGGATGTTATGAAGTCTCAACTGTGCATTTGCTTCCAACTTTAACCAGTGTTGCAATAAGACTAAAAGACAGAAGCTTCAGGGTTGGTTTTTCAGCTGGATTTCTCAGAAGTTCTTGTAAGAGAAATCTAACCTTGAGGAAGGATAACAAGCAAATGTGAACATAGTATTAGGCATGATAATGTTTTCGCATATGCCTATTAAAAAAATTAATCAATACAGGAAAAAAAAGGAAATAATGATAAATAAATAGTTCATTTAAAATAAAGCTCACATTTATTCTAAGGCAAACGTGCACCAGTTGTTCAGCCTGCTCTTGTGCAGTGCTGGATAAAGGGAGCACAACCACTCCACAGGCTCCTCTTCTGGCCTTACTGAGCTCTGTGATTAAATCACTCAGCTGTGAAATGTCTAATAATGTATTAAGATAGGGGAAGAAGTGAAAAAAGCCATCATGATGAAAATCAGGCTTTACAGCTGAGAAGCCTTATCTCAGCAGGACTTTTTCAAGGTATTGACAATACTATTGACAAAGCACTGAGCAAAATCCATGCCTTGTGGAATAAAACTGGGAAACCAGTCTAAAAATCAATAGACTTTTTGAAGTTTCTTCAGCAATGCAGTTACCCAACAGATAATACAAACCAAGTAAGTTATCCTTAAAAAATTTGTATGATGAATAAAATGCTCATTTGTAAAAAGGCAGAGAGTAGAAGAGACTGACTGATTTCAGGGACAATCTTCCTCCCACGCCCTCCTTCCGCCCAGGTTTAGCAATACAAATAAGTTAACTAGATTTAAAAATAAAATATTAACCTTAATGACTTGGCTGTCTGATTTATCTGGATCTTCTGCAGATTGAACAATCAGTTGTCCGATCTCTTTGTGAAGTTTTCCCATTGTCATTGCCTCTGTGTAAGAAAGGAAACAACACCACACATTCACATAAAATCACCTTTTCTGGGATATCTAGAAAAGCATATGAACAACAAGCTGAATTGAAGAGTCTTTTCATGACTACTACTTAAAATCTACTGGTAAAGGCAGTATCCTGGCATATCAACAGCTTTGCCAACACCCCTGAAGTGGCCCTAAGTAGATGATAAGGAGCAGAGAGATGACCAGCAACACAGAAGTTTTTCTTTCAAATAGTCCCCAGTCTCCAAGTATTTAGGGCAGTGTTTTCCTAAAGACTCAAGTGACATATCTGCACCCAGCTGGAAGCCTCTTCCATATAACTGTGTAACATGGATGTTATGAAGTCTCAACTGTGCATTTGCTTCCAACTTTAACCAGTGTTGCAATAAGACTAAAAGACAGAAGCTTATACACTGAACTTTTCAGAATCTGGATGGAAGAAGGATCAAGATGGCTTGATCTACAGCCAGGTTCAGCAATTACTACAAACTTGGGGATAAGTGGCCTCCAAATCCCAAATACAAACAGCAACCAACCTTTTACTACAGGGGAAACGGTAATCTCACTGTCTGCCAAATTCACATACACATCATACAGGTCTGGTCTGCTGGTCACTTCAGAATCTGTAAATCCAGCAATGTAACCTAGAGAGCAGAATTTATCAAGATTAGGATCTTCATAAACAAACCCACGCCAAAACCAAGATAAAATCACAGTCCTACAGTCTGTTCTAGGAGTTTTTCATACAACAGTCATTGGACCCAGGAGGTTGTGCTCTTGATAGTATCAGTCACTCAACAAGTGTGTTCAGCAGATGCTTCATTTTCAAGGAGCTTCAAAATCAGCTTCTAAAATTGCCTTGAACATGAATGAACCACTGACACTACAAGCAATATCATAAGGTTATCAATGTGGAATTTTAAAATCTCTTCCTACCTTGCTACTAAAATTAATCTTTTGCAAATGAAAAGGCCACTGAACTTTCTCGTTAAAAGAATCACCACTCTGGAGCCCTTTGTCACAAAGTCAGGATTAGATTGGAACAGAGGAATAAACCCAGCAGATTTTCTTATTTATAGCAAACCAGGTGAGCAAACTAAGAGAGCTTTTTCTCCGTGGAAGGTGTTTAGAGAGCTGAAAAAAGCACACAGCAGAAATGCTGAAGATGAGTAGTCTTCTTGCTCATTATTCCTGCATAGAGAAGCCTCTTAATGGCCACATAATGAGTCATGTTAAACTTTGCATAAGCCAAGGGCCTGTTCCTGGGTTATGCACCAAGCCCTGCACACACACAGCAACGTGTCACACAGACCAAACTCCTACGTAGCCAGTAAAGTCTGCCTGTGCTTAGGAGCCAGAGACCTCACTGGCATCAACATAAAAATTTGGCACTTCAGAGTTAGGAACTCACAAAAGAAAAAAAAAAAGAAAGATTCAGTTACAAGTGACAGGTAGAAGCTGGGACGAAAAAAATGCAGTTTATCTAAAGTGAGCTGCTTTTGTACAACAGGAAGACTTTCAGTTCCTCAGACCACAACATCAAAAAGTCTCAAGGCTGGTTTGCATCTGTGATTGGGGATAGACTGATGTGGATCCACCCAAACCCACCAGATTAACTAGTTATCTTCCCATACACTTGTTTAGTTGTTTTGCCTTTTCTAAAGCAAATTATGCTGTTTAACTTTGAACAATAGCATTAATAGCAAAATAACCTTTTTTCCTCCGAAGTGCACTGGTGCAAGACCTTGCAGCAAAAGAAAGCAGAATTAAATTTTCTTTATATTTTTGATTAATAAACTATCCCTACCTGTGCAGGCTTTTAAGGCTTCCACTTCCTCCTCGTTTAGATGCACGTATGAATGAAGAATTGACCAGTCTTGTCGATGCCACACCAAAGCAGGCAAGGTCCTGGGGAAATTTGGCACATAGTATATTTTTATTTATGCTAACTGAAGTTTCACAGGATGAAATGCATGCCATGAGAATAAATGATTATGACTGGGTCTCATTTGGGGTGGATATACAGGAACTACAGAGATTTCTGCCCTCAGTGCAAGCAGAGTTTATTGCTCATTCCACAGCTGAATTTCTCTGAGCTGAGGAACATACAGCTAAAGCCTTAAGAGGGATTTAACAGAATTTCAATAAACAGGTTTAAGAAAGATTTTCTTCCTCAAAATATGGTTTTTTTCTCTCAATGAAGGTTCAAAATTTGTTGGATTCTGGGGAGGGGTGTGAAGGAAGGAACAGACAAAGTACCTGGTAAACTCCTGGATAGCTTCTACTCTAGGATGGTACACTACAATTCTCTTCTTCAACATCAGTGCTGTATATAGGATAACTGTTTCCATTCCAAACTGAGACACTATATCTAGAAAAGAGGGGAAAATCATTGTACAGAAGATATGCATGCTGTTTTTTGAGGAAGCTAAATAATAACAGCACAGGTTAGCATTGTTACTTGAAGCACACAGGAAAACTAGATGGCATTTTATAGTGTAGGGAAAAAAATCAGGATAGAGACTCCTGGCAGTAAATAACCTTTGATGGAACCAGCAAGGTAAGCCTTCCGAGCATCAAAATCCTTGCTGAGGAAAGATCCATTTTCTTCACTTTGGCAGATCCCTTTTGTAAGCACTGCAATGTAACTCTCCATCATTTTAACTGGGCTTCCATGCTTCAAGTAGATCCTGTGTGAAAAGAAGAGAGTCTGGGATTTAAACTGCAAACATATGAATACATGTACACATATGAAAAATAAAAAATTAAAAGTCAGTATCACAAGTAGCAATATTATTGGCAAGAATTCTTAATTTTGGACACCCAGATGAGGTTTTAAATACTAAACTAGAAACCTTCCAACATGCACACAAATACAGGTCTGTTTTTCAGGGTATAAAACTACCTTGTATTCTTATTTCAGTTTCCTGTTTTAGGAAAGAACCAACATTGACTAAGATAGAAACAAACCCCAAAGGTGTAGGCGTGTTCCAGACTAAGGATTCTTTGCAGACTCAAAAGGTACCTGCCTTATGAAAAAGCAACTACCATGGTAACTCCTGCTGTTACATGTAGACATGTTACATTTGACTAGTTAGTTTTTCATTTTTTATCCCAGTATCATTTGACATTCTTCTGTACTCTTTGTTGAATGATGAAAGAAAAATACGAATATGTCCTTGATACTCATTAAACCCCCCAAAGAACACAAAAGAACCAACACACCAACAGAGCCCATCCAATTTTAGCTGTCTTCCACTGTAACCTGTTTTACAGGTTAAGGTACTTCAGGAACAGCACTGAAGCTGCCAACTACCCATTTTCCATGTTACCTGTAGCACAAAGCTGCATCACACTTGAAACTCAATTATTAGCATGTTTAGAAGAATCCATTCTGGATTTGAAAGGAAGTGTTAGCTGATAAATCAGCATTAAAGCAATCCACAGCAAGTCTAAATATTTCATGTATCACCAAAAAAGAACAACCTCAGTTTTTCAGTGCCCTGCAGAACTGGTAAAGCCTGAAGGCATTCCCAAGTCTACGCTATATGTAGTAGGTGCCCAGTATACAATAACCTCACAATTGCATCCAATTAGCTGCAAAATCTCAGGGAATACTCTTGGAATCAAGAAGTGGGACCGGACCAATATGGAAACTCAAGGGAAGGCAAAGAAAGAAGCAGAGAGAGATCATGAGAATGTGGATGTGGAGGAAAGCGAGTGAACAGAAGAAGGAAGGAGAAGGTGGCAGACTGGTTGGAAGAGGGACAAGGCAAAGGGCTCTCATTTCCCTGGAGGGAAAGCAAAACCATCCCCAGGGGCTGTGCTTAGCTCAGAGGAGCTGCAAGAAGCATCTACAGCAGACATGTTGTGGAGGGATGCAAGTTGTTCACCACACACACGGTGACCTTTGAGTCCAGCGCTGACCTCTTCCCAAATATTTACACTTTTAAAAAGCAAGTTCTCAGAGAAAATGAGTGTGTGGGTGGTGGTGCCTGGAGAAGACACACATTAAAACCTAACTGATATCTGACACTCACCCAACACTTACTGCATGAACTCAAGACAAACTTAAATCAAGGATCTATTTAATCTGATTCTGTTGGTAGGACTGGGTTTCCAGCAGGTTGTTAGAACAAAGGCAACACAATGAGATTTAACCTCTTGCTTTGGCAAGCTCTAAGCCTGGCCACAGCAGCACCTCAAAGCAGCTGTACAGACCTGCAGAGTATCCTCGTGAAGGCAGCGTATTTCTCTGGGTTGAAGTCTTTGGCCGTCAGGACAATGGAAAAGTGGGTCACCTGTGCATGACACAAACACAGACAGCTTAGTTCTTGACCCACCACGAGCCTTTGTCACACTACTGAACTTCCTGCAGTACTGACAAGGCATTTCAGTTAAAAAACCACAAAAAAGTGAGCAGCAGCAGCTCTAAGTTCTTAAGGGAACTTAGATGGCTGGGTAATGGGTTTCTGATGTGCCTCAGCTCTAGTACAGACTGTCTTTTGCTTAACCTACACCACAAGAGTTGCATTCCTCTAGTTTCATGGGATTATTAAAAAAACAGAAAGGCATTATTTTTCCCTCACACCAGGTAGGGAAATTCCATAATTTGTTGCTATGGAGGCAGACAGCATCAATACATTTAGAAAGAGACTGGAAAAAACCACACAGATAGCAGGGCCAAAACCAGAACTACTCTTTAAACTTCCTTAATCTAATGACTGTGGGCTGGGACAGTATAAGACAAAGTCTGCAGACAATGACCAGGCTCACATGTCCTCCTCAAACAGCATCTCCCACTGCTGCTGTCAGAGACAGCGCTGGGACACTTTATTTTATTTTATATTTTTTACACCTTTAAGGTTCATAGGAGATGTAAGCTTGGAGTGAGGAAAGGCAAGAAATATTCTGTTGTGGGCATGTTAAATTGCCCCACTATCTTTCTGCTTAACAATATAGCATGAAATATGAAAATTGAATAATTGAATAAACTTGACAGTTTAATGATTTTCATAGCAGGGAGAAGATAGCAGATACAAGCATATTTGCTGTCTTCCAATTACGAATGCAATGAAAAATAAAGTACCTGTGTAACTTGACCCTTTGGAAAAAAAAGCACCGAGTTCTATACCAACAAGACTTTGAACACAATGAAAAAAACTTTGTAGAGAGAAACAAACTGCTGACAATGAAATACAAATTAACTAGAAATAATGACATGGGAAAGCATTACCATGTTAACACAAAGAATCTAAATTGGGCAATGAGTGTCCCAATCTTTCTGCAATTCCATCCAATACATGTCTTGGCAAAAAATGAAACGTGGACTGGTTGGACACCTGGATAAAAGCTGCATCTGCGAGCACACAACAGCTTGAATCCCTTCTCTTCTTCATGTTTCCCTCAATAGGAAAACACTGCTTAGCCTGCAGATATCTTCCCTGCATTCTACTGAGAACCCTCACCAAGTCCTACCTTTTTCAAGGCTGGAGAATCCTGAACTTCCACAGTCGTGATGTAGAACCAAGACCTTTTGTACTGGCCAAATACAAATGTATGGAGCAATTTGTTTTCATCCGTGAGGCAGCACTTTCGCAGCAACAGAGTCCTCAGCTCAGCTGTTACGGACGGATAACACCAAACCCACAAAGCATCTCCGTTGGTGTCTTTTTCTATGGTGGAAAGATGTTCACTGTGAGAATGCCAAACAGCAGCAAGGGAGTAAATCGATGGGTTAACCAGGTTTGTTTCCTAGAACCAGATTAAAAATCCACCTTACCCTGACCCTAGACATCCAGTTCTGCCTCTGCTCTCTAAGCCCCAGGGCAGCACTTCTGCTGCGGGCTTTATTATTGAAACCCTAATAAATATCCGCTCTTGACCCGCCTAACGAGGTCAGAGAAGCGCCGGGAGTTTGAATACACATCCAGCGTGAGCGAGGCACGGAGGAACAAGCTTATTTATGGTTTTTCCCTATTTCTGATGTCGCAACACAGAGATGGGAAGCCGCGAATTTCAGGCACCCCGGCCGAGCTCAGCGCGGCAACAGGCGGGCCTGGCACCGCCCGCCCGGCCGGCCGCAGCTCGCGACGCCCCTCCGCCCCGGCCCCACACGGCCCCACACGGGCCCCCGGCCCGCGGCGCCCTCACCATGAGCCCCACGGCCCGCAGCAGCTGCGCCTCCGGCTCTGCCATCTTCGCCCCGCCGCCTCCCGCCCGCCCGGCCCGGCCCGCTCCGCCCCGGCCCCCGCCGCTCCCGCTCCGCCCCAGGGCCCCGGCCCGGCCCGCTCCCCCCGCCTCTCCGCCGCTGCGCCCAGGGCCCGGCCCGGCCGCCGCTCGCCGCCCCGCCTCCGCCCAGGCTCGCCCGCCCGCCCTGGGGCCGCCCGCCCGCTCCGCTCCTCCCCAGGCCCGCCGGCTCCGGCCGTGGGGAACGGGGCTGGGATTGGGAACCCACAGGCTGCGTCCTTGCCCGCACCGCACAGCCCCGGCACGGCTCGGGCTGCAAGGGAGCGCTGCAGCTCCTCCGGGCCGACCTCCCTGCTCGAGCAGGGTCCCCTCCTGTCGCTCAGGGGTGTGTCCTTATCTCCAGTGAGGGAGACTCCACACCTGCTCTGGGCAGCCTGTGCTCGGTAACTTGCACAGTAAAGTTCTTCCTTGTAGTCCCGTGTTCCAGTCTGGGCCCGCTGCTTCTTGTCCCATTGCTGGGCACCACCGAGCACAGCCCGGCTCCATCCTCTGCACCCTCCCTTCAGACATGGACAGACACTGATGAGATTCCCGCTCTCCAGGGTGAACAGGTCCAGCTCCCACGGCCTTTCCCCAGAAGTGAGGTGCTCCAGTCCCCTCATCACCTGCATAACCCCCTCTTCTGCCACCTCACACTGTAAGTCACGGGGCACAGCTCAGGGGAAACGCTACACAAAAGGAGGTGGCCCTGCTGGCAGCTGCATCCTGAAGTCCTGGACAGGAGCTGTATCCCTAAGCATCCCAAAACACAGGCCTCCCTGTGCTTCTACAGAGTGTGGATGAAGGCTGACTTGGGCCCAAGAGGCAGCTGAATGAGGTGAGGAACACTCATGGAAGCAGAACAGCCATTCCTGAGTTACTTCATGCATCAGCAAGTTTATTTGAGGATGAAAAGATCTCATTTTAAAGTTTGAAAGAACAGTGGTACCTGAATGTTGGACTCTATGTCCTTAAGGGTCTTTTTTTAACCTAACTGATTCTAGGAATACCACGGCACAGAGCAGCCACTGATTAGGAGGAGAAACTTCCAAAATACCTGGGATAACTAGAGGTCATCAGAAGCTGCTGAAGAAAACATGGGAGAGAGGCCAGGCCTGGTCCTTGCCTGGCTGAGGAATACACTAAAGGGCAGCTTGCCATATGATTTTCATAAAGTCATAAAGTTAAAACACACATATTTAATATACTCTGCTACCATGTAGGAAGGGACATGAGGATTCAGATCATAAAAGCTGCTTCAACACAAAATTGTCTTGATCCCAGCCTGGAGGGCTTTCAGGAGCTTCAGAGATGTACAAAAAAGGGGGGTGGACTACCCAATGGCAAATGCAGCTCTAGCCCAGCAATAAATACCAGGCAGCACATCCATCAGAGCAAAGGTGCCCCCCAGAGAGGGCTGCAAGGACTTAGGACAGGGACTGGCTCTGGCCACGCTGGCACAGGCAGCCTCTGGTGCTGGGAAAGCTGCCACCCGGACCTGGGGCTGTCTCTGACCTGACAGACATTTAAGTCAATTTTATGAAGACAAGAAAAGCACTATTCAGTTCATTAATTTTACGAAGACAGTTCAGCACTATAAATAGCTCAGTGATGACTCTGCTTTAAAGCAGCCCATACTAAAATACTGTCATGTAAACCAATAGCGTGACCTGACGGAGAACACTGTGTACAACATGAACACCAGATCTCTAAGGACGCCAGGACATGGAGAAAATTCCAAGTGAAGGGAGCCTGAAAAAGCAAAGCTGGGCTCTTTTCTTCCATCTTTTTTTTGACTCTAGAATGGAGGGTCATGCACTAGAATTCTCCCTGAAACTGATGCCCACCTTCTAGTTCACATGAGTCTCTGCTTAGCTCATCATGGCATGTTGTGCAGGGATTGAGACACAGGCCCATACAGGGGGAGAGAGACTTTCTTCATAGTGCCAGAGTTGGGCAACCAAATCATTCACTGTTGGCTCTCCTTGTTTCCATGACATTGCTGCCAGTGAGCTGGCATCCCACAATGGCACGGTCCGTAGAAACTTCCACCACGTGGGTTTTGTACACTGGACTTCATCTTGATGTACAGAGGACTGCTCATTCCTTAAACACTTCCAGAGTACCTCCAGCACAGCTGATTTTCTCAGGTACTGGATACCTTGCTCCATGGTGATCCATTTGCATGGGTTCACTCCTAGATCAGCTGGTATCCTGAAAGGGTACCTTTCCCACATGCTTGACAGAAGCTGCCTCCAGAGGCTGAGGATTCCTTTCATTTTCCCAATCCCCAGCTGCTTGGCTACACCACTGTCTTGCATCTGACTGTGGGCTGAGCTATCCCAGCACTGGAGCAGCCAGGTCACAAAGTGCTTGCCTGACAGGCAGCTGAAACATTTTTGTGTACCTGGCAGTTCACAGAGGGATAGGGATTGGGTGATTATCTCTGATGCTGCCTCCTCCTCCTGTTCTGAGGGCCCTACTTCTTCTCCATCCCTCACTTAGTGAACTGATTTTGTCTTGGATTTCTTCTTCTTTACAGGGGCAACTGCTATGGAACAGGTTGTTCCTCTGGTTCAGCTGTAGTTGGAGTGGCCACAATGCCTGTTGTTCTGCTCTCTTCCCCCTCCCCGTGAGGGTGCTGTCTAGTGACCAGCAGTGACTGATAAACAGTAGCCAGGGCCCAGCATAACTTTGTGCCTCTCAGGAACTGCCACAGCATTTTTCCTTCACGCATTTATCGCTTTACAAGGGTCCTGTAGTGGTTCAGGGAGAAACCTCCAAACCACTGGAGGAGAAAAGTCCTTCAAAACCTGACCCATTTTCTCCCACCTTCCGTGCCAGTCATGACTATCCACCCTTGAGGCAGACCTCTGAATGACCTTCCTAAAAATCTCTTTCATAACTAACTCTAAACATGGTGTAGACCACACCGAGGAGACCTGGCAGACTTAGTAACAAGAGCACGCTTTCCTTAACATCCAAAGGAAATTCAAAAGTCTCAGCTGTTGTACCAAGCCTGGATGAGAAACAGGGGGTGAAAAGCTGGAGAAAATTATCCTTCCCTGTTCTCCCCACAGACTGGGTAGGATTGTTAATGAATTCCCACCTATAGCACTGGAGGTCAGCAGGAGAACAACACTGCATACACTGATCTGTTGTTACCTCAAGCCTTCGTGCTCCTTGCTGGGTGCCAATCAGGCTGCTGTGGTTTAGGAATGGTATTCCCCCATTTAATGTTCCCACTGAAACACTCCAAACCCTGTGCCGCTCACTCGCTCCCCTCTCCTGTGGTGGGATGGAAAACTGGAGGCACAGAAAGGTGAAGGTCATGGGTTGAGACAAGAACAATTTACAGGAAAGAGAAATGAAATAACAAATGAACAGTAACAGCAATGCCAACAACAGTGCACAAGGCAGGGGAACGATTCACCCGGGATCGCTCACCACAGAACCCGGCGCTGCCCGGCCCACACGGGCACAGCCCTGCCCCGCACCCCGGTACCACCTGAGGCTCACTCAGAACGGGCTTTGTGGAGCTCGCAGCGGGATCCCCCAACCCTCCTAGTTCTCACTCCCTTCCCGGTCCCAATCCCCCTGACGATCTCTTCCATCCTGATCTCTATCCTCTCCAGGTCCCAATCCCCCTCCCGATCCCCCCACAATCCTGATCCCCCTCCTGATGCCCTCCCAACCCGATCCACCCACGGTCCTGATCCCCTCCTGATCCCCCCACGGTCCCGATCCCAATCCTGATCACCTCACAGTCCCAATCCCCCTCCTATCCCGATCCTCCCATGGTCCTGATCCCCTCCTGATCCCCCCCCAATCCTGATCCCCTCCTGATCGCCTCACGGTCCCAATCCCCCTCCCGATCCCCTCCTATCTCGATCTCGATCCTCCCACGGTCCTGATCCCCCTCCCGATCCTCTCCCATCCCGATCCCGATCCCCCTCCCGATGCCGATCGCCTCAAGGTCCCAATCCCCCTCCCATTTCGATCCTGATCCTCCCATGGTCCTGATCCCCTTCCGATCGCCCCACGGTCCCGATGCCCTCCCCACCTCGATCCCGATCCCCTCACGGTCCCGATCCCCTTGACGATTTCCTTCCATCCTAATCTCGAACCTCTCCAGGTCCTGATCCCCCTCCCATCCCGATCCCGATGCGCCCCCCGGTTCCTGATCCCGTCCCAGTCCCGATTGCATCCCTGGTCCTGATCCCCTCCCGATCCCGATTCCGATCCCCTCCCAGTCCTAATCGCCCTCCCGATCCTCTCCCATCTCGATCCCGATCCCCTCACGACCACGACCCCATCCCGATCCCAATCCCCCCACGGTCCCGATCCCCCTCCCTTATCCCGATCGCCTCACGGTTCCAATCCCCCTCCCATCCCGATCCTCCTCCCAAGGTTCTGATCCCCCTCCGATCGCCACATGGTCCTGACCCCCCTCCCGATCCCGATCCCCTCACGGTCCCGATGCCCCTCCTCACCCCGATCCCGATCCCCTCACGGTCCCGATGCCCCTCCTCACCCCGATCCCGATCCCCTCACGGTCCCGATGCCCCTCCTCACCCCGATCCCGATCCCCTCACGGTCCCGATCCCCCCCCCCCGACCTCCGTCCCGATCCCGATCCCATCCCAATCCTAACCCGCTCCCCTGACACTCCGCCCGGCGCTTCGCGCGCTTCGCTGAGCGCCTCTTTCCCCTTCCGCGCGTCAGTCCCTTTCCCCTCCTCAACCCTCTTCCCTCCGCGTCCCTTTCCTTCTCCTCCTGAACCTTCCTTCCCCCTACCCGGCGCTCCTCCTCTTCCGGCGG